AATTATTGGCTATTTATGCTTCTGTTTGGCATTTTTCTTACTTGTTGGAAGGTCGCGAGTTTTCAATTTATACCGATCATAAACCTTTAATTTGCACTTTTAATTACGCAAAAACATGAAAAATGTTCCCCACATCAAATTCGGCATCTTGATTGAATCGGTCAGTTTTCGACGGATATGCATTATATAGCGGGTTCACTTAACATTGTGGCAGATGGCTTATCCAAAGTAACGGAGATAGAAATGGCCCGTCCTATCGATTATAAAGAGTTTGCTAAAGCTCAGTTGATTGATAAGGAACTTCTTGGTTTAAACTCTTGTAATAAATAATTAAAATTGAATTTTGTCAAGATTCGAGGTATGAACCAGGAAACAGAACTCTTCTGCGGCGTTTCTGAGGCAAGATGTCGTCTATATGTTCCTCCAGACTTTCGTCATAAAATTTTTGAAACTCTTCATGAATTATCCCACCCTGGTGTAAAGGTTACCATCAAGTTGATTGGAGAACCTTTTGTGTGGCCTAACTGCAAGAGGGAAGTTGCTGGATGGTCTCGATGCTATGTAGCGTGTCAAAAAAGTAAGGTGCAACGATATGTGGTAAGCCCTCCTGGTACATAACCCTTACCTCATCAGCGATTGAATCATGCTCATATTGATTTGGTGAGACCACTGCTTCCTTCTTGAGATTATATTTATTGCTTAACATGCGTGGATCGGTTTTCCCGATGACCTGAAGTTATACCTCTACGGAACATTAAAGCAGAGACAGTTGCTTTTGAATTTTTTTCCAACTGGAACGCAAGATTTGATGTTCCTGAAAGGCTTGCAACAGACCAAGGTAGGAAATTTGAAAGTAATTTATTCCGAGAATTTTCTAGCCTTCTTGGTATTAAACTTGTACATACCACACCTTATCATCCTCCATCTGTACCATCCAGTCAAACGGGATGGTACAGAGATTGCACAGGCAATTGAAGAGTGCAATTCGTGCTTAGACAGGCAATTGAAGAGAGCAATTCGTGCTCATTCAACAAATAAGTGGACTTGAGTTTTATCTTCAATATTACTTGGCATTCGAACTTCAATAAAGGAGCCTTTGCAGTGGTCTGTTGCTGAGGTGGTGTACGGTACACCTATAACTTTGCCTGGAGAATTTTTTTCTAACTCTAGAAATTTAACTAACAATGAGTTTCTTGAATTTTTACAAAATAGAGTTAGGTCTTAGTGGCCTACTCCCACTTCACAGCATTGTAAGAAAAATGTTTTTGTTCATAAAGAACTTAATAACTATATTCATGTTTTTCTTCGACTGAATAGATTAAAGAGATCTCTTGCTCCACCTTATAGCAGACCACATCTACCGTTCTAGCTAAGTTTTCTAAGCACTTGACCATACAAATTGGAGATCGTAAGCAGACTATTAGTATAGACCTTGGCAAACAAAGAGCACGGGGCGAGCTCATATGATCAGAAAGTCGCTTCCCCAATCATGGTTGCTGGGAGAAAAGTGTTAAACCAAGCGGACTCCTCAATTCTGTTTTTAACATGTAAAGTCTATGGTGGGCTTGTTATACTTTAAATCGATTTTTCTTGTTTAAGAATCGGAGTGATCAATTTAAAAAAAATACTAATACTTTTTTCAATCTTTCCTATCCACAATAATGTAGGTCAATTTTTTTAATCTTTATTACTTTTTGTAATACTGCCTTTGAAACTCAAGTCACTTTCTACCTTTGAGTAAGGGAGGAAGGCAACTTCCACCCCCAAGTTCATTCTCCAAGAAAAGATAGCGGTCTAATCTTCTCCATAGGTGGTCTTGCTCCCGCCCTCCCAAATACTTTTACTCTGTTCAACTCTTTTTGAAAATCTTTTTCTCTCTCTGTCCTTTTGAAGAACTGATATGGGGAGAGTTTTAAAAACCGATAGCTTATTTTTTATTTATAAGCTTGTAATTTATTATGAAAATTATATTCGCTGATAATTCGTTCATTCTGTATACATTTTATTTACTTAGTAGTAATAATTTTCTTGTTTTTATTCATTTTGAGAGTGGAATTTATTTTTTAAATACATTATTCCCCTTTTTTTTAAAACTTTTTTCCTTGTTTTTTAAAGATGTTTCAGAATTAAAAAATTTAGCTGCTGAATAAAGTGAGATTAATTAAAATCGAGACAATGATGTAAAGATCTTCCAATATACTATAAAGCATCACAAAACTACAGTTCTCCTTTTTTTAAAAAAAAAAAAATATATCATACACCAAGGGCACCGGCAGCGGGGTGCAGGAGGGTGCACTTGCACCCCCCTGGCTTTTTTTTTTGAACAATTAAAAAGTATACATTTTTTTATTAAAATTATTTTTATTCAAAAACAAATAGTTAAGTAATTATTGATACATAACAATTAAATAATTGTTTAATCAAATAAGAACTTTAATCGTCTTGTTAGCTGTCCAAATCTGTTTATAACGTTTTCAGTGAATTCTGAGTCATCTTTGATTTTTTTCTATGCACACTGAGAATGCACAAACAACTTAATTTCTCGTGAGACATTGTAGACCTATTCCATGTTTTCATGCATCGCATTGTGAGATGAAATAGAAAGATGAAATAGAAAGAATGAGAAATGTGATTATTATAAACACCACGAAATTTCATCACCATAAATTAAAAAATAAAAATAAGTTGTAATACATAGAGTTAAGCTTCTCTTTGTTACTTCAGACAGTCAAACTGGTTTTGATGTTTTCAGACCTGATTCCTTAGTTGATTCAGTAGATTTTGAAACTATTAGTCTTTTTTTATTGCTTTAACATTAATTTGTAATTCCTAATTGATACACTCTTTAAAACTTTTTTTCGCAATATTCTAAAAATATATATTAAGAGTAGTAGTAGTTATGCAATATCTTATGTATTTAATAACGATAAATTTTTCGAATTCATATTAAAAGTGTGTAATGTAATTTTTATTCGCAATTTTTCGCTAGAGCAAAATATGTAATCAATGTGTTATTTTAATTTCTCTTCCCTGACTCTCCTGTGCCATTCATGGAGAAGAGTTTTCTGAGTAGAAATTTCTGCACTGCAAACTTTAATCAGTGTAGTTGTAGTTAATTAAAATATAAGAAAACTAATCCGCATTAGCATTACATAAAGAGGAAAAACACGAAAACCTCCCAGGGTTAGCCAGCATACCATCTATATGAATATATCTCCTAGATAGCCATAATTTTCTGTATTTTTGTATTTGATAAAATTTTGCAAAGTAAACTTGTCTCAATCTGTTGTGTCCTTTTCTGTGACAGTGGTTAGTTGAATAGTTTCGGGTTACTTAACACCCCAGGAAGTACACGTACCCCCACCAAAAATGTAGGGGAGACAGTGGAAAGGGTTTTGGAGGTGCTCTATATTTCGGGCCGAACTCTTACTGAAGGTTAGAAAGGAAGTGAAGAGGCCTTCTCACGTATCCTTTGGCCAAGGTATAGACAGATTGAAACTGGCATTTCAGCTGTCTGAGATAAAGATTAACCATGTGAGATTTTCCGTGTGACTATCTTCCAGACTGCGTTGGGGAGCCCTGCGGCGTCGCTGCTGTAGTGATCATTATTTCTTGCGAAGCGAACTGAAGTGATCTTGATCTTCAAAATATAAATGTTGCGACATGAATTTGATACTTTCTTTTCTATGTATTCTTCTTGAACAGCTGTATTAAACAAGAACATGCTAGGCATGTGGAATGTTTTGTTCAGCTTAAATAAATGTTTTCTTTAGATGCTAACATGAGTCTTATTTCCTGAACACAGGATAATTCCAGAATTTGTGTCTTGAGGAAACTACAGGTTACTTTAAACTAAATTTTTACTAGAAATCCTGCTTCTTAGATGCTTGCTCAATAAATTAAGTTTCCAAGTGGTCTGGTTAAAGTTCTCTTACCCTCTGACTAATCATGGGAGATTTTCTTCTCTGTGTATCACAAATATATGTCAGTTTCATAGTTTTCATATGTTAGTTAGTTAGTTCATATGTTAGTTTTTCATAAAAGCAAATTTGCCTTTTGTTTTGTAATAATCCAGTAAACATGCAGTTTAAAGATGTAAATTTTTTTAGAGATAATTAGCAGAATAAAATTACGTAATCACAATATGTTCCAAATTCTCGTGGTTACCTGCATCCAAGAAGCTAATGTTACCACCTTTTACTCTTGTCATCCTTCATAGCTATATGATTTAAAACAATTGCAATTATACAACCCATCTGAAAACTCATTTGAATGGTAAAATTACACATAAAATTAAACACAAATCTCAGAAATAAAATTTCCTTGAATTTTAAGCCTGTTCACACATTGCCTCATGAGCATAACATAAGTGGAGAGATATACTAAAGTTTTCTAAATTTCTTCCGTTTTTAGGAAACTTGTTCCTCTTTATATTCATTCAATCCTCCATTATTTAAATACAAGGGCTCCCTTACCAATCACTCAGATCTTTTTTAGCATTGAGTGATGATAGCATTGCTGTTTATGGAAGAGTTAACATTGTCACAACATTACTTTTGTTATTGTCATAAAATTTATAGTCATATTCTGGATTAAAGTGCTTGATACTTTTCTTGGATATTTTCTGTCTCAGATTAATTTCTTATTTGTTAGTGTCCTTATGATGTAAGATCTGGTAATGTTATTTTTAATTACAACAGCAGCTACTTCCCATGATTTAGCTAATATATTTTGAACTATCACTTTATCCTCAGAATTTATTACTCTTTATTTCTTGTCACTTTTGTTGTAATACTTCAAATAATATAATAAAACTTCTGCTTTTTTTTCTGCTTCTTAGTAAAGTTAATCTTTGGTTTTAAAATTATTTGACAAATTGGTAACTGTTCTGAACCTCATATTAAACAACATTTGAGCTGGTTAAAATTTATCGTAATACATACATTTTTTACTGAAGCAATGTGTTGAGTAATTCTATATTCATGAATTGTGTTTTTTAGTTTCTGAAAAGAAATCAGACGAAAAAGCAGATTCCTTTTCAAGAGAGGAAGATAATAATCAAGAAGATGATAATAATCAACCAACAATGTGGCTGGGCACTCAAGATGGATGGTAAACATTATATTCAATGTTGAAATGTATGTACTAAATACAAATTGCTTCTAAAATAAATAATTTCTATTTAGTATCCTTGTATACAACTCCTATGATAATATTAGAACAAAGAAACATAAATATAAGTTTCAGTTAGCTTCTGCTATACAGTGTATCATGTAAGTATTAATATTTTATTATAATGATTCAATAAATTTTTTATTTATTTATATATTAATGTCATATTGTTTTTTTATCAATAAAGAGTTTGCTTTGAGAAATTGCTAGTAATATTGACATTATGCAAAGAACGAACCTAAGCAGTTAGATAACACTTTGTAGATGATAATATTTTTCATAATTCAATATCAATTCATGTATGGAAATCATTACTTTTTTATTATAAAAGCAAAAACACCTTTGGCTCTGAGGCATCAAAAATGCATGAGATTGGAGAAAATAAATACACAAAATAGTAATTAGTTTTCTATCAATAATAATAAATACAACATTAAAAAATTAAATAACACATGACAATATCAAATGTAAAAGAAATGTAGTTCATTAACTCTCTAATCTACCAATATTGACTAAAGGTATTTTTCTTTCATAACAGCATATTTTAGCAAATAATCTCTATCCATTTAAAAATTCTGGTTGCACAAATAACTGTTATATAAAAAGAGTTACTAACTGTTATGATTGATCTGTAATTATTACGATTTTGTAGTCAAAATTTAAGTTTTTCTGTTAAGTAATTAAAAATATGATTTTTGAGAATTTTTATAATAATTCGTTTAAAATAAGTTTGTTTCTCCTGAACTACCATAAGTAGGAAAATTTTGCTGCATTCAGCTAATCTAATAAATTTTTTGACTCCTTAAACAAATCTTTAAAAAAAATTAAGAATTGAAATCAATTTGGTAGAAGCAAAAAATAATAAAAAGCAATTAAATCTCATCTATTGAGAAATGTAGCGCATGGTGCGTAGCGCTTTTAAAAAGTGCTTATTTTCGATTTTTAAAAGCCCTTAAAGGTGCTTTTTTATTGGGTGTTTTTGAAAAGTTCTTTATTTTTCCTTCACGGAAATGACATTTTTTCTTTACCATGTCGATTTTCGCTACGTGTTGTGAGCTGGGTTCGGTGAGATTATTGCGCTCTCATGTGCAACTCTGCTGCAGTTTGAAAGATGTTCTCAATTTCGGGCTTCATTTTACACCCTCTAATATTAGACTGAAAATTCTCTTGATCATTTTATAATGACTAATATAATCAAGAAAATAGTTCTTTGTCGGAAACTAGTTCTTTTATCATGATCATGTAAAGTCTTTGAAAATTATTTTGCATTTTGTTAATGTATATAGTGCTGAGAAATATTTTTTGAGTGCTTAGAAAGTACTTAAAAAGTGCTTATTTTTTGTTGAGAAATTTGACTACGCACCCTGTAGCAGTGTACATTAGTTTAGTTTAGAAATTTTCCTATTAGATTGCTGATATTCTGTGCTGTAGTGTGAATGAATAAGTCTGCCATTGAACTACCAAATACTAAGCATCGACTTGTATTTAAATGTTTAACTGTTAAATTATCTGAAGGTTTCAACCCTTAGAACATGGAACTTGTAGAAAAAAATTTGTTTTGTTTATGATTGCCTTCCTTTTTTGTTTATCATCTTTCTCTCTTCCAACATGCTATTTTAATATTCTTTAAGGTCAAGGCTAAAAGAGGCTGACAGTAGGTGTCTCAAAAGAGTTGTTGTTTTCCAAAATAACAATGTAAGGTACATGTCCACTTGGTAAACATCTTTTCATGTAACCCCCCCCCCCAAAAAAAAAACATTTTTTTATGCAGTTTATGTATAAACCTTTTAACCCTAAAACGAAGTCTCTGACAATCTGCGTTATTCTATGCACATTACCCTAATCCCAAATCTTGAGAAACAACCTTCTATATTACAACCTCAAATCCAGGTTGTTTTAGAGTTTCCAAGTGTGAAAAAATTGTTGTATAAAATTTGTCTTACAATGAAAATCATCTTAGATCTTGATAATTGTAAAGTTTTTTTTACAACGTTTGTATGCTCAGCTAAAATCCACCTTGTCATGAGATTTTTGTTGACAATGTAATTTGATCCTATCGATAATAAAAAATATCTTGTACTCAGAAAGGGCATATTCTGTTCTCTATGACTTGGAAATTTCTATGGTCAGAGAAGTTCTGATGAGTGCAAAAATGTTAAAGCAGTTTTTTGTATCGTTGGGAAAGTTAACATCTAGTACTTCTTATTTGGTCAAAATAAAATCCAACTGATTACTTAACTCACAATTAATATGGATTATATAATGAATATATGAAATACAAAGATAACAAAATTATTTTTAAAAAATCGTTAATGAATGCAGCAGTTCCAAACGTATTTTGTTAATGCATAACTATTCGATTTTCCGTCAATTTGCCGCATACAATTTGGAACAATCTGTCATGAACACAATATCTCAGAGCTAAAATTGACCGTGAGCACAACTTGTTGCTAGGATATTGCTTTCGTCAAGAACACAATTCAGCGGCGCAATTTTTTGTGGTTTCGATGAAGTACATGTTTGTCCAGTAAGAAGTTAGTCCACAAAAAATACAAATTTGTACTTATTTACACTTCTGACATTGTAAGCAAATGCCATGACTGAACAGGTAAAGCATTTTTTCTTACGTTGAATCAAAGAAGACTATATAAGAGTTAATAGAATAAATAGTTAGTATATGTAAGGGCAATTCTAAATAAAATATTGCATTGAAAAATATACCTTGCATGTTCAGATAGCTCTTACATAGCAATGTAAAAAGTGTACCTGATTACATGTCAAAAGAAGTATTTTTATACCCAAAAGATATTTTAATTTTGAATTATTTGTTTTATTGACTTGTATATAGTCTCATTCGTTTCAATGTGACGAAATACATAAGAGACAATGCTTCACTTGTTTAGATAGCAATGTCCGTTGTATAATTTGTTTCTTTTACTAAATAAATAAAACCCTTGTATCTTCTAAATTATTTGTCAGATAGTCTCAAGATTGGTTTCATTCAATTTAGTGTAAAAAAATACATTAGAAACAATGCCTCAAGTAAAATGTAAAACATAAAATTAATGCTAATAAGCTCAAGTGCTTTCCTAGTTGCACTATTTGGATCACATTTTGGCGATTACTCCTTACAATTTGGTTCCAGAGAGAAAGTACAGTTAAAATCTGTTATAATAGACCTATTTTCAATTTCTTTTGTAATGGATAACTATTTTGATTTAAAATATTTATTTAGAATGGACTGTTTTTTTTTCTTTTTCTACAGATTGTAAACTTAAATATGTATAATCATTTTTTATCTAAATAACAAGTTAAAATTTTGAAATCAACTTTCGCTTTTCTGTACTGTTTCTAGAAATGTCTTCCATTTAAGTCTTTTTCGTATCATATTGCTCATTTAAAAAGCAGAAGATTAGTAATTCTAGTAAAGACTCGTTATAAACATACAATTTTTGTACCCTTATTGTTAGGATTTTGACTTTGACTAGGAAATTTGTTGCAATAGCAAATTTATCCTAATATTCTGTACTCGTTATATCAAGCTTTTACTATATGTTTTGTTGTGATTTAGTAATTTATCTATGGCCTGTAGTGTTTTATTTGCTCAATTTAAAGTTTGCTTCTTTAATTGATGCGACACCACAACAAATGAAGTATTATAATCATTAATAAATTATGCAAAACAGATGTATTGAATTAAATGAGCCAATTCGTTAATACTTAAAATGAAATAATATGAGTATAATAACCATTCGTAAATAATACAAAACATATTCAACATAAATAAATTAGGGAAATAATCTTCAAGTAAATTAGTTCCTCTTCAGATATACTCCTTTCTCTGAAAAATAAAGGGAAATATTTGAGTATGAACTTATGTACATTGAATGTTCGTTCATAAATACGGTCGTTCAATTAATATACCTTCATAAATACAATTGTATATTGTATGCACATACGTGAATACATTTGTACATTATATGTAGTTAGGCACATATGCATGCATACACACGTATGTATTTATATACATACTTATACAACATACTGATTTTGTTATGACTTCCTAAAGTTGCCATCCTTAGGATTCTGTGACTTCCAGAGAAAGTCCTATATATACCACTGGAGGTCCTACGGATGTTTTCTGAGTTTAGAATGTCCCACCTGAACACCTTACACCGTCATATATAGAGCGATTTTCGGATACCTTAAAAATGTCTTAGTATGACATTAGGACAAAAATGACTTGTTTCAGAAGGATTTTGGAATGTGTATGATAGTAAAAGGAGGGTCTATCATATCGGAAATATTATATTTTAACATCAATAAAATTTTAATATTAATGCTAACTTAAATAGGATTTAATAATAAATGTTCTTTTCTTATTTAATTTAATAAACTGAAGGTTAGAAATCATTGAAAAATACTTTTTAAGTGAAAAAAAAATCTTCAAACTTGTAATTGCAGGACATCATTTCACCTTGATTTGTGTCTCTAATTTTGCTAGGAAAATTTATTTAAATGCCGTTGATTGTGTGACTAATTTTCTTAAGAAAATTAGTAATGCAAAAGAAATGTAGAGAGTAAACTTATTTTACTTTTACTACACATGCCAATGGTAACAAAAACTTACAGTTACAAGAAAAAATAAAATTTATATTAAATCTTAATCGAAATACAGTGTAATGTTCGATATCCAGACGTCCCTTTTCCGGAACGGTTGATTTCCTGGACACTTTTTAACAATCAATTCAAAATAAACAAACATCTCTTCATCTTCCCCTGTCTTTGACAAACAAAAAGAGGTCTTTTGACACGTTTTTTTCCTTTTTTAGCTTCTAGTGCCTTATGCATTGAGCCCATAAATCACCAGAAAGATGAAGAGAAGATCTACCAAGACTGTCCAGTGACCGTTAGTGACGCTCCTCCTCTGGAATGCAGGAAAGGAGGGAGATTTGTTCTCAAAAGAACACAACTGAGTCCCCTCCCCTTCTTTCTTATGCAGCTGGCTAGTAAAAGAGGCATTTCCTGGAACCTTTTTATTAGAGTGTTAGGGAAAGAAGAAATGCTGTGAAAAAGGGGTAAACGCATCAAACGTTAACATGGAGGGGAGTCACTTTCAGTCACACAAGAAAAAATAAAGAGATCCCTATCAGCATGCTGCGCTTTTATGCTTGATTGATAGCCAATGATCAGAGAAAAAATAAGAATTTGTCATTTCCCTATCCTCAACTTGAATGACAAATAAGGAGGAAATGAATTTTTCTCCTCCACCTACCCACCTTAATGAATGACGGGAATTTCCCCTTCTTGCTTGAATCGTTCTAGTGCAAAATGGCGGAGAGAGCAATTAATATTTTCATAACTGTCAATTTTTTTTAGTTTTCTATATTTTAAACAATAATCATTTTTTTCTAATATTTAGTTTTTAAATGATTAGATATAATTCTAATACTAAGACACTACTGCCTAAAAAATTATGTTTATTTATTTTTTGCTTCTTAGATTCAGTTCGTTTATTAGACCGTTTTAAGCTTTGTTTACCTTGGAGTTTATTATACGGAAAAATCTAATATCCGGACTTCTGGAAGTCCCACGAATTCCAGATACGTGACTATCTACTGTATTTATAAACTGATAAAATTTTACTCTTTTATATGGAATGGAATCCTTTTACTATCATTAAAAATTCTATCTGAATATACCTTTCAAACACCAGGCAAAAATAAAAGGTATTGATAAGTCTCAAACCTAGAAAGAGCTTGTCTAATTAAATTCCATTGATTTTATTAAATTTTCCATGATTTTTTTCAACTCTTTGTAGTTTTAAGATAATGTTACAAAATGTTCTCATCATTTAGTGCAGTAGAACTCTAGTACAAGTATTTTAGCAATTGATAGGTGCAAGGTGCTGTATTTTAAAAGTATCATTTGAAACCGTAGGTAATAAGACTCACATAAAAAAAATAATACATATTTGAAATATGTTAAACAGACTAGGTCATGGCCTAGGGCCCCCAATTATTAGGGGCCTCCTTAAAATGGATTTTTTGAAAATAAATTTAAAAAAATTAAGAAAAACTATGATTTTTGTAAAGTGTTAATAAATTTTAAATTTTTTCAAAATGTTATGATTATTTTTTAGTTCTAATTTAACAAATAAAAGTAAAATTTAATTTATTATTATTTATTTTTATTTTAAATATGCTTTCTTAAATGAAAAGATGCATAAATACTTTTATATTTGAATAAATAAAAAATATACAAGAAAAAATTTAATCTAAGGGCCCCAAAAATTTGAATGGCCTAGGGCCCCGCGTACGCTTAATCCGGCCTTGTGCATAACTTATGTGGCTGATGAGAGGGTCAAATTAGGGTAAAATGTATTTCCACAGGCTATGGAGAGGTCGTGAGGAACTAATGTCATTAATCAGGGAATCATTATTTATATCAATGAAACAAGATTCCAGGCCATCAAGATGAGCTAATGTGACTGGGGTGGAAATATTTTTGTCATGGAAAAATTACATTTATCCCCAAGATTCCAACACTGTGTAGAAATTTATGTTCCATGTTCTTGATAACAAACATCTTATATCTATCTATCAATAAGGGTGTCTTGGAGTGAGATTCTACTTTCCTCGTTCCCTATGTTAACCTATGGAGAATTATATGATCCTTAGACTACTCTTTATTTAGTCACTAATTATTATTTTGGAATTTTTTTGCTTCATTGTATGCTTTGAAATATCTACTATTAAGCTTCCTTACAAAATTTTTAGTTGAAAGATTTTAAGTATTTTTAAAACAAACATGTTCTTTAAAAGCCTCAAATTTAGGAGATAAGCTTTAATTGCAAGTTTATTTTTAGCATTTTTGGAAACATTTTAAGATAGATTAAAAGCTTAAGAAATTCTCTTTAACTTAAGATTAATATTTTAATTCTAGGTTTTATACATATTACATAAATCGTAAATTAGTTTCAATGATTCTAATCAACAGACTCCAAATTTCCTTCCCCTTCTGAAACCCTTTTCAACAGGATTACCCACAGTGAAAATTTCTCCCAACAGGATTACTCACAGTGAGGTTGAAGCCAGCTTTCACTGTGATTTCACCTTTTTCTTGCGTGAATCCGCGTGTATTTCTGTTTGTCTTTCATGTTTAGATTTTGCCAAGGAAAGTTTGTTATAGATTATCTGAGATTGCTAATATAGGAAAATGTAAAATTAGAAAAAGGTTGCATTTGTCCAGTAAGCGAACGAAAAAGAGAGGAACCAATCTTATGGAATGGAGAGAAAAAAGGTAACTATTTTATTTTATTTATAATTTATGCAAGAGATTTTTTGAAATACTTCCAGTTTAGTTTTATGTACCTCTTATTAAAGTTGTATAAATATCATGCTATTTTTCATATTTAAATTAGTTTCGTCAAAAAATAGCAATAATTTAATTTAAATAAAATGTATGCTTAGAGCATGTCTTATACCTTCACAAACAGTTTGTTTATTTAAACTTATTATATCATAGTTAATTGTGATTATTTTCCAATGTTAAAACCATAATTATAAAGATAAAAGAAATGCTCTAATAAATATAATAAATATCTAATTTTAGAAAAATATTTTATTTTAAAGTTAATGACTTAATCATGCAAATTTCATGTGGAAGGCAGTCTGTACTCATATTTTTTATTGCTTTAACTATCACTAATTTAAAACTATACAATAAATGTCACACATGTAATATATATTTGTAACTTTTTTTTGCATTATTTAAATAAGGGCTGCTGAATTGATTATAGATATTCGACTCCGACTCCTGACTTTATGAACACGAGTCTAACTTGCTGTACAGTAATTTCCGGTAAATAGGATGCGGCCTATACGCGTTTAAAAGTTGGGCTGTCACGATGCGCGGCCTGTACGCCGATGCGGCCTATATGTAGAATTTTTTTATCCCATCCCACAAGTGAGAATTTTTTTATCATGGTGAATTTATTCAAAGTCAGATGTTTAGCGAAAATTTTCCAAAATAATGAACCTAATTCGTAGTGTTTACTCTGGTAACGTTTTTCTTTCTTATTTTTTTAAATTAATTTGCCGAATTTCGGATCGCTTTCGGAAATTCCAATTTGGCGCCCATATATTACGATAATTAAATTATACTGTTAATTTCCGAAAATTAATTAATTACGATAAATTTAGTTCAGTTTTGATCGTAGATTATGATGGGGTGAATTTAAAAATGTCCCATCTTAAGAAATTTCATTAATTAAAACAATTATCTATATTTTAGAAATAACAATATGTATTTTTTGTAAGCTAACAACTAATAATGATTAAAAAACATGCTAACAACTAAATATGATTTAAAAATAAAAACTAGCTATCAAATAATAAAAAAAAAAAGCAATTAATATCTAATAAAAAACAAAAGAGATTGATTTACGTCGAATAAAAAGAAGCCTCAAAAGGGATAGAATTCATTTTGTATCCCACTTGGTAGTTTCAATTTCAAAAGGGTGTGGCTAATTTATGGTCAAACTGGAGGGGGAAAAAATGGGGACAAATGAGTAGAGCATTTCCACAGCTGTCAAGATTGATTTATCAGTTTCTTCCAACTTGCATTTCTTTATTTTGTTCATTGGAAATGCAGATGTTTTTACTTTTCCCTTTATTTTAAACTGCTTTTAGAAACAGATGTTTCCTTTGACTCAGATTTGTTTTCATGTTTTTTTTTTATTTTTATTTTAAAGATAAAATAAAGTTACTTCATCAGAATAAAATTCAAATAAAAAGAGAATTATACTGATTTTTTTTTCTCTTGTTAATAAAAATTTCTTCTAAGAAAAAAAAAAGAAAAAAGGATCAGATTAAGTGCTGAATATCCAGCCAGTGAGGAATCAGATTTCGATGGTTTTGAATAGATATATGCTCAAAAATATTTGAAAAGTATAAATAAATAAATGCTGACTTATTTTGTGATTAGTTTATTTTTTATCGCATACACATCCTTAACTTAGGATCATTCTCAATTCTTTCTTTTCATGATAAGTATACATAAAAATGAGGATGATAATGTAATGAGTATACATAAAAAAATATTTATCAATAACTTTTTTCTAAGTATAGAGTTTATGTTTTAAAGATTATTATTTTTTATGTGTATTTTCACACATGTGATATTTGATAAAAATCGATGATCGATCGAAAAAACGAAAGTGCGGCCTTTACGACGGTGCGGCTTATAAGATGAAAATTGAAATTTTTAACGATGTTTTTTGCGGGTGCGGCCTATTTACCGGAAATTACTGTAAAAAAAATTTTTAGGCTAGCAAAATTGTATGATTTAAGCAGGGTTGGCCTTTTGCCGGCAGAAACTGGTTTTTGCCACGCCAGTGACAGAACTGGTTGTAACCGGTAAAAACTGGCAGGAACTAAAAAAACATCTATAGTTCTTGTAATTGCTTAATGACATTTTGTTTAAGTAAACTGAAAAATGTAACTCCATGTAACTGTAACAAACTTTTTAATTCATTGTTTGTAAATATATATTATTTTGTTTATATTAAATATAAAGAGTGCAGTATATCAAATATTTATATAAAATAAGGAATAAAGTAATGTAATAATAAGTATAAATACTAGATTTTAGTTTATTATATTAAACTATGAAATTCAGTAATTATTATTATTTAACTCTTAACCTAACTGAATGGATGGTGTTTTCAGTAGAAATGTAAACAATAACAATCTCGAGCTGTATGCCTGCTTTAGTTCCGGTTAGAAAGTTTGCAGCTGCTTACTACATGTTATTCTGTGAGGCGATATTTTCAAACGGATAATTTTGTTTTCAATAAAGGAAATAAATCAAATAATTTCTGAGCTCAAATCTGTCGTATTTCATAAGATATTAATGTTATTATGTAATTCTGGTGAGTTTGAAGTGAGAATTTGTTCTAGTTATTTAGCGATATATTGTTAAAAAAGGTGACATGGTTGCTAGACTTTGAATAACTCGCTTTTTTGGCCGTCTTGATTTGACCCCTTTCCATTTGTTTATTACTGTTTGTTCGTGTTGCAAGCTGTGCACCATCTTACGTTAGTGTTTTTTCTAGTCAAGTTTTGACAACTACCCCAGCTGCTGCATGGTGGTTCAGTTTTAAAAAATATGCAACAGATGAAAGTCTCACAAATCTTGCTTGTTCCTTGATGGCAATGCCTGCTAGTTCTGCTGGACTTGAGAGAATCTTCTCAAATTTCTCGTTCGTGCATAGCAAATTGAGAAATTGTTTAGGTTTAGAAACTGCATCAAAACTTGTCTTTTGTTATAGATTACTGCAGAGTGCAAACAATGTAATATTTGATTTTGAATGTTGATAATTTTGTAAATAAATTGTACTTTGTTTAACATTTAATTGTTTTTTCTATGAATTATTCATTGTATGTCAATCTTAGTACTTATTTTTATGTCATTTTCTGAATTTCTGTCATGCCAGTTTTAACCGGTTTCTACCAGTGATTTTAACCCTCTCGACAGAAACTTGCCAACCTTAGATTTAAGTAATCATCCAATATTAAATTTTTAGGCCAGGAAAAATGTATGATTTAAGTAATCATCCAATATAAAATTTTTATGCTAGGAAAGTATTAATATTATTTCTAAGTAAATGTTGACATAAAATTTTGCATTTCTATTTTTTTATTTACGATTTTAATTAAAGGTATTTTGTGCAAAATAATATCATTGTCTTCAACTCCGAGATCTGAAAAAGTATCTGCGACTCCTACTCCACAGTCCTTGTTTTAATACATTAAATTTAATATCTCTATAATGACATTTAAGTATTAAAATTTCTTTAAAAATTGTATTTTTGAATTTTTTTTACTATCATTATTTCTTAATGAATATTTTTCCTAATTGCAGGAAGGAGGTGGAAGACACTTCCTTCATCGAATCTCCAGTAGAAAATTATTCGGATTTTGAGCTTAGTGGATGGAGAATCGTGGGTATTAGCTTTTTTGTGCTGCAAATGCAACTTCTCAATGCCCACACACCACCAAGTTGCAACCTCCCGCACATGAAAGTTGTTTCTGAGGCAAGAAAAAGGTTAAAAAGTTATTTCAAATTGAAATGTGCTGTGTGCAATTTAGAAAAGTCAATTTGGAGTGAGGATTCAGACGCCACATCAGTCAGTATTAATACAGCTGCTGTAATTGACACAATAGGAATCGGTTTTTCTATCCTCGAGGAATTCATAAGTTTTTTTAAATATTCCTCCTATGTCTTCTAAAACTTATGATAAAGAACATAGTAAGGTAGCAAAGGCATGGGACAAATACGCTCAAGTGGAGATGAAGAGAGCCGTTGAAGAGGAAAAACAATTAGGTCTTGAAAAAGGTGATGTGGATGCAGAAGGAGTACCTTTACTAACCGTCATTGCAGATGGAACTTGGGACGAAAGATCCTGAAGAACAAATTATTCTTCACTTTCTTACGCAGTAAGTCTGCAATAATTTTTTATTTCATAAATTGTATAAAAATATAATAGATAAGAGATATTTTTGTTTCTACAATACTTAAGTAATCTATCAATATACACTATTTTTTATTTATTTAGTATCAATTTGATTGGCAGCATGGCATTTTAAAATGTTTATTAAAAAATTCTTTAATCGTATCATAATTGTTACTTGTTTATATGTTTGGATTATTCAAACTTATTCTTAAAAAATTAACCAGAGATAATTTTTAGTTATTTTAATTTCTTTAATTAAGTACATGAGGAGACATTTGCTCCTTTTGAAATATGTTGTTATAAGTTTTTTTATCCATTTTTGCAACTCTGAGCAAAAAAATTTTTTAGTCCTACTCAAAATTAATACAAATAAAATTATTTTTATACATCCGAACTAAGATATTTCAGACATATTTACAAAAATATTTTTGTGACAAACATAATTATCTCTTATCACTATTTTTTGTTTAATAACAAGATTTTTGATATATATATATGTAAACATACAAACATATGTATGTATGCTTAGCGAACAAAGAGCACGGGGCAAGCTCATATGATCAGAAAGTCGCTTCCTCAATCGTGGCTGCCGGGAGAAAAGTGCTGAACCAAGCAGACTCCTCAATTCTGCTTTTAACATGTAAAGTCTATGGCGGGCTTGTAATACTTTGAATCAATTTTTCTTGTTTAAGAATCGGAGTGATCAATTAAAAAAAATACTAATAATTTTTTCAATCTTTCCTATCCACGAAAATGTAGGTCAATTTTTTTAAAATCTTTATTACTTTTTGTAATACTGCCTTTGAAACTCAAGTCACTTTCTACCTTTGAGTAAGCGAGGAAGGCAACTTCCACCCCCAAGTTCATTCTCCAAGAAAAGATAGCAGTGTAATCTTCTCCATAGGTGGTCTTGCTCCCGCCCTCCCAAATACTTTAACTCTGTTCAACTCTTTTTGAAAATCTTTTTCTCTCTCTGTCCTTTTGAAGAACTGATATGGGGAGAGTTTTAAAAACCGATAGCTTACTTTTTATTTATAAGTTTGTAATTTATTATGGAAATTATATTCGCTGATAATTCGTTCATTCTATATACATTTTATGTACTTAGTAGTAATAATTTTCTTGCTTTTATTCATTTTGAGAGAGAATTTTATTTTTTAAATACATTATTCCCCTTTTCTAAACTTTTTGCCTTGTTTTTTAAAGATATTTCAGAATTAAAAAAGATCTTCTGAATAAAGTGAGAGAAGTTAAAATCAAGACAATGACGTAAAGATCTTCCAATATACTATAATATATAAATATATTAATGACAACACTGCAGTTTTCCTTTTTTCTTTAAAAAAAAGTATATCGTGCACTCATTTGTAGGTTTAAAAAAACATTTACATTCAAAAAATTTAAAAGGTTGCAATTTTTCCATTCCATAAATAGTTTTAATTACAACAATAGCTGGGATAGTTTGTTTTTCCACGGTAAGGGAAAAAAATAGCTAGTACACAAGACCAGACATCATCCAAACATGAACAAATTTTTATTTAAATCAGGAAATGAAGAAGAATATGAAAGTATACGCATGTATTGTAAAATTCTTTAAAAAAAAGGAAGTAAAAGAACATTAGTGGACATAATTAATATTCACGAGAGAAAAATACAAATGGTATCAAAGTATAATGAATCGCTGCTTAGGAATGCAACACTGAAAATATTGAAATCAGTTTGCCAGATGAAATAGAAAGAATGAGAAATGTGATTATTATAATCACCACGAAATTTCATCACCAGGGTCATTCTCACTGAAAAGGTATAAATAGACTAAAAAATTTTCTAAAATTAAAGTAATTGAAAAAGTGATAAAAATCACATAAATGCCTTTATTCATTTTTGTTATATGTCCTTATAATAATGGTCAAGTTTTCTATTTTATTTTTTACAAGATTTAAAATATTTTAAATTCTGTCCACGGAGGAGAGGTAATAGTCAACGGAGGAGACATTTTATGTTATAAAATATAAAATGTCAATGAAGATTAATTCATTAATTATTGGGTACTACTGATATGAGTTTAACATTAATAAGTAAATAATAAAATATTTCATTATTAGAGATAGAGCTACTTCCGATTAAGCATGCTGCTATGAAAGGAAACATTCATTTTTTACCTAAGTGTACAATTTTTTAAGTAACTCTTACTGAATATTAATAAATTAAAATGTAAAGACTATTGAAATAAAAATTCAGACTCCACATGAAAGTTGAGTGTTGAGGGTTCTCTTTTATGAACATTTTATGCAAGTTAAACATACTGTCATCCAAATGACGTTTTTGTTTTTTCTCCTTTCTTCTTGCTATTGTTTCTTTTTTCCCTGGGCACTCTATCAATTTCTAAAAATTTAAGTACATTTAATCACGATTTTTCTGTTAAATCTTTTTCTGATACAGATTTTAAAGTTTCTTGCTCTTTTTTTTTCTTACTTTCTTCAAACAATATAGGGTTTTCATTTAATTTCTGTCTTCTCTTTTGCAACATTTGATTGCTTTCTTTTTTTACATCTTGGTTTTGCCATTTTTTTCCTAAAATTTGAAGAGAAAAAAATGTTAAACATCACAGAAATTATTTAGAAAAATTGTCAATATTTACTTCTCCGATAAGAAAAAGTTAAACTTACTTGATTTTCTTTAAAAATACAAACAAATTAACACATTTGTTCCATTTTAAAAAATATCATATAAAAGAAAATAGTTTTTTAATTATTAAAATTGTATTATGGTTATCTAACACATTGTCTCTTCTCCTCCGTGGAATTCGTGGAATTGTCATGTCCACGGAGGAGACAAAAACTAGTTCTTGAATTTTACTGATTTTTAATTTTAAAGTTACAAAAATGGGGCAGTTCTTTTTATTAAATATGCTATTTTTGCAATCTAAAATTCATCTATCAAAAATAAAACAATTTTCTCTTACCTTCTTTATGATGTCCATGGAGTATACGGTGAGAACTTTGCCAAACCCCAGTTGAACACAACTATTCAAAATTGACACCAAAGAGAACAAAAACAACTGATAGTTAACAATAGAAAATGGAATGGTTACCTTTCCCCGAAGCTGTCTTATAGGGATTTCGCATATGCTGCCCTTTATTGCATATTTACCGAACTATGTTAAATGTCCATGGAGGGAGATTTCATTTTTGATGGACAAAGTTTACTAGTCATTTATTTTATAAAAATAAATTTTTTAAAAAAAATATTAAATAAAAAGTTACTATAAACATTTAACTAAGTAAAACTACAAAAATCATTAAAATAACATTTAGATTGTTTAACAGCCATTAAAAATTATTTTGTGTCACAGACGTAGGGACGTCCACGGAAGGGATTTTGAAGTTATGTTTATTAAAAAATAAGAATGAAATATTAAATACATTTAGCAGAAATGCATATGATTTGTTAGTTAGAACTTCACGAAAAATGATGAAGAAAAATATTAAGAAATCTGCTGCATTTCCTAATATTTATTACTAAGGGACTTAAAAAATCACCTTTTTGTGAGAATGACCCACCATAAATTAAAAATAAAATTAAGTTGTAATTCTTAGAGTTAAGCTTCTCTTTGTTACTTCAGATAGTCAAACTGGTTTTGATATTTTCAAACCTGATTCCTTAGTTGATTCACTAGATTTTGAAACTATTAGTCTTTTTTTATTACTTTAACATTAATCTGTAATTCCTAATTAATACACTTTTTAAAACTTTTTTTCGCAATATTCTAAAAATATATATTAAGAGTTGTAGTTATGCAATATCTTATGTACCTATTTAATAACGAGAAATTTTTTGAATTCATATTAAAAATGTGTAATGTAATTTTTATTCACAATTTTTCGCTAGAACAAAATATGTAATCAATGTGTTATTTTAATTTCTCTTCCCTGACCCTCCTGTGCCATTCTTGGAGAAGAGTGTTCTGAGTAGAAATTTCTGCACTACAAACTTTAATCATTGTAGTTATAGTTAATTAAAATATAAGAAAACTAACCCGCATTAGCATTACATAAAGAGGAAAAACACGAAAACCTCCCAGGGTTAGCCAGCATACCATCTATATGAATATATCTCCTAGATAACCATAATTTTCTGTATTTTTGTATTTGATAAAATTTTGTAAAGTAAACTTGTTTCAATCTGTTGTTATGTTGTAAGTTTTAATGAAAATCAATAAATGCATTTTCTTTCAAAAATTTCGGTATCATACTTTTTTATAAATTAATTTAGATTATTTTGATAAATATTTATATTAATAAGATAAATATTTATATTTATATTATATTAATTACAGTAAGCAGCTTCACAAATCTATATATTAAAATGTAACATAGAATTGTTTTATTTTGTTGTTTTTAATTGATCCATCGAAATGATCTATTAGAAAAATAAATTTAAACTGTCACTTCAGCTTATTAGTCGAAAATGTTATAATTTAGTATTACAACAGAAATGATGGTATTTTTTATGAACCCTCAAAACTGAAATGAAAGAGTTAACATCAATTTTGTTATAATTTTACTTCTACGTTCAGAAAATTATAAAGCTTATTAAAGATAGTTTTTAAGGAACTTCTTAGAAATAAGTTATACTTTTGTAAGTTATTTATTTGTCCTTTTATTTACGGCATTTACAAATAAAATGTGTTTATTACCCACTTTTACCATTATTTTTCGTTATTATTATTATGGTTATAATAATTTTAAGTTAAAGGCTTAAAATTAAAAATGAAGTTCCTTTATTATATGAAGTAATCACAAGATATTACTTGATAAAAATTATTTGATAAAATATAAGTACCGTTTAACAATTGATACCCTCTTTTACCATTATTTTTCGTTATTATTATTATGGTTATAATAATTTTAAGTTAAAGGCTTAAAACTAAAAATGAAGTTCCTTTATTATATGAAGTAATCGCAAGATATTACTTGATAAAAATTATTTGATAAAATATAAGTACCGTTTAACAACCAAAAGCTGATAAATGAAATATATTCGCTTTTTAATAAATAAGTTATATTTTCCTTTATTCCTTTAAAATAAACTTCATATAAAACTGTGCTCTCAAAATATGCAGTTTAATAAATGTATACTAAATAACTGCTTTAGATCAATAAGGATTTTTTTTGCATTATTGTTAAATAATATCTTTGTGATAAGTTTTTAAAGTTACTACAATTAAGTAGAAATTATGAATATGAGTTTGTGGGTGAAGTTTTTTATGTATCCGAGCTAAGTTATTAGAATAAGTTAAGTGATATAATTGGAAACTGGATCTGTCTTAATATGACTTAAAATTTTGTGATCTTTAAATTGAATAATTTTTAATTTTGATGTTTCAATTTGTGACAAATGACAAATATCCCCGGTGTTTATTTTTTAAGATCGAATCATAATTCCAGTTCGGTGTTATTTGTACAATAATAAATGTAGTTAGCAAGAGTAATAATTAAAATGAAGTGAGTTTCTAGTGAAGGTTAATTTAGTTAATTCAAATTGCAAAATTCAAATATTTAAGTCTAAATCAAATTTGCACAGTAAGCAACAATATTTGTGTAAACAATGTATTAAATGTCAACATAGTTTTTTAAAGTGGAAAAATTTAATTAGTTTCAAAACGATGTAACAATCGTTAAAAGAATTGAAAAAAATTAATTAAAATTAAAAAAAGGTTGTGAAAAATATTCATATTTGAATTGTAATTGAAAGAAAAAAATTAAATAAGTAATAAAAAAATAAAATCTTGATCTCAAGGTGAAAAAGTTTCATAACATAAAAAGTTTCACAAATTAGCAAATCAATCTTTAAAAAAACTAACAAACTTTATTTGATTTATAGAGAAAATATAAATTTATTTTTAATGTAGTTACTTTACATGAATTGCTTTCATATGACTAAATAGTAAAATTTTATAAATTTAAATACTGTGGTTATTATTAGTTCTCTAAATAATCAAATCAAAATAATAAACAATTCAAGATATAATTAGAAAAAGTGCATGTTAAATAAAATGATAAAACCATTTTGAAAATAAATAAAGTCGTTTTAGTGTTTAAAAAAAAATATTTTTTGAGTTTTTCTTAGAACGAGAAAAAGCATAATATAAGATGTAGAGTGAGTTTCTTCTGATATCTTTTGAAAGCTAGTTGACCCTCGCAGGTTGCAATCCCCCTTTTGTGACAGTGGTTAGTCGATTAGTTTCGGGTTACTTAACACCCCAGGAAGTACACAAACCCCTACCAAAAATGTAGGGGAGACAGTGGAACGGGTTTTGGAGGTGCTCTATATTTCGGCCCGAACTCTTACTGGTGGTTAGAAGGGAAATGAAAAGGCCTTCTCACATATCCTTTGGCCAAGTATGTATGTATAACGAGTTGAAGGCCACAATTTGTCTTTGGGATAAATAAAAACAATTATCTATCAATCAAATAAATTTAAAATCCCTTTCTTTAATTTATTATTTCTCATCATCATCATCATAGTTGGCCAGACGGCCCAATGTGAGCCAATGCCTTCCTCTGAAGATTTCTCCATGACGACTTCCGATTTACCTTAGATCTCCAATTCTTTTCCTTAATAGTGAGAAAATCAGACTCCCCTGAGTCAGCCCATCTCAACCGCGGCCTTCCCCGTTTTCTTGTTCCAGTGGGTCTAAAAAGCAATATCTTTTTTATTGTATTGTCATCACTCATTCGAGTCACGTGGGGCATTCAATTCATTCTATTTATTTTTATGTATTTAATAATATCATGTTGTTTATAAATCTTGTACAGTTCAAAGTTAAATCTCCTTCTCCAGTTATTGTTTTCATTTACACCTCCAAGTATACTCCGCAAAATCTTTCTCTCAAATGTTGCGATGCAATTTTCCTCCTCTTTTGTCACTGTCCAAGCTTCAGAAGCGTATGTCAAGACTGCCGGACAAGAGTTTTGTAGATTAAGAGCTTTGTTTTTCTAGAAAGAAACCTAGATTTAATAAATCCATAGACAGCCCTATTTGCCAGATAGAGTCGGTTTTTTATTTCAGCTGTTGTCAATCGTAATAATTGATCCTAAATAAGTAAAACTCCTTACTGTTTCAAATCTATAAGAATTTATTTCAAGATAGGGGTCTGGGAGTCTGTCTCTTGAGAATAACATATATTTTGTTTTCTCTACATTTATGACTAAGCCCATTTGCCTTGCAGTTACCGCAAGGGCAAGAAATGCTTCTTTCAGGGCAGGAAAGGAGCGAACAATTATATCGACATCATCAGCATATGCAAATAGTTGTACTGATCTATTAAAAATGTGACCACTGGTATTGATGTTTGAATCACAAATAACTCTCTCAAGTGCAATATTAAAAAAAAGACAAGAGAGAGAATCTCCCTGTCGAACACCTGTAAACGTGTCAAGATTTTCTGACAGAGACCCCAGAAACTTAATCCTACACTTTGTATCTTTCAATATAAATCTCGTCAATGTAATGAGTTTTGAAGGTATTTTAAAAGTATTCATTGCAAGCAGCCTTGAAATCAATAAAAAGATTATGTGTTTCAATGTTAAATTTCATTGATTTCTCTAAAAATCTGACGGAGACAAAATATCTGATCTTTAGTTGATTTTCCAGCACGGAATCCACATTGATATTTTCCTATTTGTGAGTCAATAAACGGTAACAGTCTCAGATATAAAATTCTAGATAGAATTTTACAGGTTATACAAAGAAGACTAATGCCACGATAATTGGCACAGTTCATAGGACCTCCTTTCTTGTGAATTGGGCACAAAATGCTGATATTCCAATCCGTTGGCATAATTTCAGAATGTCAAATGTCTCTAATAAGTTCAAATAAATTTATCAATAATGTAGGCTCACAATTTTTTAGTAGTTCTGCTGAAATAAGATCATGTCTCGAAGCCTTCGTATTCTTTAAGTTTTTAATTGCAGCCCTGATCTCCTCAATAGTTGGGGCCTCAACTTCTGTGTCATATATGAATTCAGGTGCAACTATTTCAACATCTTCATAATTTTCCTTAAGAAGTTCTTCAAAATGTTCATGCCATCGTTTTAAAATGTCTTGTTTATCAGTAATAATCTCACCAAATTTGTTTTTGCATAGACTAGAGGTCTGTTTAAAGTCCAATCGACTGTGGTTAATTTTCCGATAGAATGCTCTGCATTCATTAATGGATTTCAAATGTTCAACATCTTTAAACAATTCTTCATCAAAGGCCCTTTTTTTTGCCTAAAGAGTTTCTTCACCTCTTTTCTGCAACTATGGTACTCCTCTGCACTATTTCTAGTGTGTGCTTGTATCATATGTTTAAATGCAACATTCTTTTTATCATTAGCGATGGCACAATCAATATCATGCCAATCCTTAACCTGTTTCTTAGTTACTTTACCAATCACAGCGTTGGCAGCGTTACAGATACTGTCTTTTATACATTTCCATTTATTTTTCACAGTATTGTTACATTGTCACAGTATTGTTACATCACAGTATTGTTACAATTCTTTAATTTCAACTGTTCCTTTACGTTTTCACAATATTCAAGTCTTATCATTTCATTTTTAAGTTTATCACAGTCATATTCTCTCAAAGTCTCCCCCTTAAACTTTTTTGCATTTTAAAATCTTGATCTGACTTTGGCTTATTTATTCTGACTTACTGACTTGATCTGACTAATTATTTCTAACGAAGCAAAATAATGCATAATATTTGATAACTAACAGTTATTCTTAAGAAATAAACTTTTACTATGTTTGAAAATTTTTATTTGCCTCTTCACTTTTTCAAATTCATTACTCAACATTTATATTTGAAAGGACCTTAATATTTGAAAAACATGCTTATTTTTTAATTATGAAAAATATTACCGTTTTTTTTTTCGTTTTAAATTTAATTTAACAAGTTTAGGTCATGATAAACCAGCAGAATATATAAAATCATTTATAATTCCGACCATAAGTATACAGTATTCGATTTATATTTTATTAATATTTGTTTATAATTTATATTTCATTATTAAGAGTTCGAATTATATTTTTGTTCGCATAAACTTACATATTATCAATTAAAATGAATTATTAGCAGTTAACATTAGTAAGAAATAGGAACAAATATTTGAACATAAGATTTTTTTAAATAAAAAAAGAAAGCTAATATTCTGATTTTTCTTGTAGGCTGCCATAGTTGGTTATCAAACTAAAAAAGTGCTACACCTACAAGTTCGAAATAAATATTGTCTTACCTGCAAAGTTTCCCAAAGGAAAGAGGTTGAAGTGCCTGCCTCATCACAAATGTTATAAAAATTGGGAAGGCAGCTCTACTTTAATGGTAGCAGACATTATTGTTCAAGGTTTTCTTCAAAACATGCCATTATATGGTGTAATATATGTAGCCATGATTGGAGACGGTGACAGTAATGTGTAAAAAAAAGTTTTGGAAGCTAACCCATTCAGCACCTTCGACACTGAAAAAAATTGAGTGTCGGAACCACCTCTTAAAAAATTTCTGCAACAAATTGAGAGAGGTAGCAAGAAATACAAAAGTAGGACATGCTGCAGTTCGCAAATTCAGGGCTGATTGTGCTCCGGATTTCCGGAATTTTCGCTAACTGTGATCCGGAAGTTTCCCAAGGTCTAAGGTTCAGACATTTAAAAAAATCATTAATCACAGAAGTTTCCGGAAATCAAATTTTCAAAGGTGGAACTTAAAAACACAGTTTATTTTATTTGTTTGTAAGGGAGAGTCAGAGAGATACTTTATAAGCTTATATTCATGATTCCTATTCATTTTTTATCAGTAAATAGTTGTTATAATCATAAACTCAAGAAAGAAAGACATATTTGTAAATTTTAATTGCTTCTCCAGGTCATCAAAGGTATGTATAAATGGTATAGGTATGTGTAAAATTTTAAATATATTTTAAGTAAACTAAGAAATATTGAAAAAAGGAGAAAAAACCTTGTTTAAATTTTTTTCAATTTAAACTTTTTTTTCTTTTCTTTTTCAACTCCGAAATTTTCCGGAATTTTGACTTGGGCTCACAATCACCCCTGAAAATTGGTAGACAAAAGAATTCTAAGATTAAGAAATGCTATTGTAAAGGCTTCAGAGCATAAAAAAGATCAACTAAATGCACAAGCTGATCTTATAAAGGATATGAAAAACGCTCCATAACACGTTTTTGGAGACCATACATACTGTGCTTCATACTTTTGTAATGATAGAAATGATATAAATCAAAATCATATCTCAGAATTAGAAGAAAGTGGGATTTTGTTTAAAATCATGGAAATTATAGGGAATTTGACAAACCATGCCAGAAGCTTACTTTATAACTCTACTAATAATGCGGTGGAATCTTTTAACGCTGTCATAGCGAAACATGTCGGTAGAAAGAGTATTAACTTTTCTTTAAAGGGTCTTATGAAGTGAGATGCAATGCTTCTTTGTTGACTTTTAATACCAAAGAGAAATACAGCAAAATTTATAAGGAAATTACTACCAATAGTCCAGGTCAATTCTGTAAAAAAAAGAGAACAGCCTTCAGCAAAACGTAAAAGAGATACAGAAAATAAACCAAAAATATGTAGATGAAGGAAATTGTTTCCTGATGATGCTTATGGTCCAAATTCTCAGAAGCCATCTATCCCAAAAGAATTTTATGAAACAAAAAAAAGCTGAATTTCTAAAAGAGTTAGAAAAAAATTAGAAGAAAGATCTATATTAGAAAAGAAAACGAAATTGCATATTTAACGTATATTTTAAATATATCTTTATTTAATCGTATTCGAATCCAAACTAGACATAGAAACATAATAATTCAAAACAATATTCACGCACGTTGCAACAAGTCATATTAAACTCTAATACTTATGCTCGCCCTTAAAATATTTAGCTGCTTCCATTCAGCAATCCTATAAATGGTTGACCCCATCCAATGTGTCTTCAGAAATCTAAGAACTAGCGAGTCGGTGATTATCAAGGGTTCATTATCATCGTCATCTTCATAAAACATTGAGTCATCATTTTGTGATACGTCATCATCATTCACAATATGAAATAATTTCATTTGAGATGCATGAGCAGTTGTAGTATTAGCCCGTCTTGTGCGGCCTTGTCCAGATTTTCTAAAATCTGTGACTTGATATACGTTGGATGGCAAGACCTTCATTTCTCCAAGAGGGCCTCTATAGCGAGATTGCGTTTTTGTACGCAATCCAGTTTTCTCCGGAAGTCTCTTCACAACGACTGCATCTCCGATTTATGTGCATCTCCGATTTATGTACACCGCAATGTCTTTTTATCGAAAGATAATTTAATTTTTTCTTGTGATTTCAAAATAGTGTCTCGTGCTTCTTGGCGCAGCAATTCGGGAGACGTATACTCATCAGAGGTCGGAAGCATCTCCTTGGGAAAATTATCAAATTTATTAGATTTAAGTTCGTACAATAATTCAAAAAGAGCTTTTCCTGTCGATTTGCTTGGAGTCCAGTTAATGCAACGCTGAATTTCTGGAAGCAATTTGTCCCAATCTCTGTGAGTGTCGGATTGTGAGCTTGAGAGAAATCATAGGTATTAAAATGCGGTTTGTTTGCTTTACTTGCCCATTTGCTGCTGGTCTTTGACTACAAATTAAAGTATGTTTTATTCCATGCTTCATACAGTATTACTTAAAATTAGAAGACGTAAAACAAGTTCCACGATCCGTTATTATCCTGTTGGGGCTTCCAAAATCATTAATAAAATTTTCAAGACACCTTAATACGCATCTTGTTGAACAACTAGAACAGGGCCGAAGGCAAACAAATCTCGTTAAATTGTTTACGAAAACCAACAATTCTGTGTTACGATTTACAGTAATATTCAAGGGTCCTATAAAATCTAAATGAATTATATCAAATGGTCATTTGCCTGGTGGCATTGGATTCAGTTTATACTGAACTTTTCCTGCTGGTACTTTCGTAAAGACTCAACTAACACATTGCTGTATATGCTGCTTTATATACTCTCTCATTCGAAGAAAATACAATCAGATGTTGCTTGATAAGTGAGACTACTTTATCAACCTCAAAATGGTCAGAGAGTTCATTAAATCGAACAGCAAGATATTTTCTCATCGATTTCGGCATTACAAATAATTTTATATACTTCCCATTAATTATTTCTAGGCGATAAAGTATATCATTTATGAGTTGCTATTTGTTTTCAAAGTTCTTGGTTTTTGTCCGACGCTTACAATTTTTCAAACACTTGATGATATTTTGAAGTTCCTCATCTTGAGCTTGAATCAAAGCTACTTTATCTTCTTCTGTACTAATATACAATACAACTGATTCCATCTTTGTTTTCATCTTGTTTATTTATCGATTTCAGACAATTGCTCCACTTCTTCATTCATTATTGGAGCTTAACTAAGAGCATAAATATGAGCAATTTGAGAACCAGATTTGTGCTTGACTTCATAATTAAACTCATTTAGCTGCTCAATCTATCGAGCCATTTGTAGCTTCATATTACGTTGACTCTTTAAATAAATAATCGCACTGCAGTCTGTCACAAGAGTAAACGTAATGCCAAGAAGGAATGGTCGAAGACGGCTACGTGCCCACACTACAGCTAACAGTTCTAATTTGCTTGAGTGGTAATTTTCTTCATCGGGAGAAGTGCGCCTGTTTACACAATAAACTAAACGTAGTGCATTATTTGAATCCCATTGAAGTAACATTCCTCCTAATCCTGAAGAACTTGCGCCTGTATGAAGCTCAGTTTCATCACGAGGGTCGAATAATTTCAAAATTGGCTCTGACGTTAACATGGTCCGTAACTAATCAAACACCGTCTGATGCTCGGAATTCCATGTACATGCATGACCATTTTTAAGCAAACGAGTAAGTGGGGATGCGATGGTAGTGTATCTTTCTATAAAACGCGAAAAAAAACTAGTCAAATCTAAGAATCATCCAAATTCATGCTTTGATCGCAGAGCAGGGAATTTTGCAGCAACTTTTCTTGGACCTGGTTTAATTCCTCTGAACTAACAATAAATCCCAAATATTCAACATCAGGCATAGCAAATTCACATTTGGGCAGCTTCAGCGTTATTCCAGCATTACTTAATTTTTGAAGTACTGCTCTAAGTTTTAAAATTATATCCTTAAAATCCACAGATCCGAAAAAATTGTCAATAAAGCATGTAACGCCTTTACACAGTAGGTCACCAAGTGCCTTTGACATGCATCGTTGGAAAACAGCTGGACCATTAGACAATTCAAAAAATAAACGTGTGGGTTCAAAACGGCAATCAGGTGTAGTAAATGCTGCTTTTCAAGATGATTCATTATAAATAGGTATTTGATTGAAACCTTGACAAGCATCAAGTATGCAGAATAAGTTGAATCCTGATAGTTGATCCCAAAAGATCATCTGTACACGGTAAAGGGAACTTATCTTTCACGGTTTGAGAATTAAGTTGCCTATAATTGATAACTGTAGCGTATCTACCACTACAAAATTACAACTACAATTCACTAGTATATAAGACATGTTAACTCAACTCTATGTCGGGGTACCTTTTCATAGATGAAGGTTGACATTGTGTATAACTACTTTCCCCACATTGGTGACCTTCGAACGTGATGTGAACATGCCTACCTTGGCAAAAAAAACGCCCACTTTGATCTGGATACGCCTACATCGGCAGTAACGCCTTCTTCGTTGGATGGTCCACATTGAATAGTTGACTTGCTACTTGTGACTGCAACATTATCCACCTCCTCGCACTGTTGCTACTCAGTCTCGAGCACACAACGTCGGCCTGCATACACTCGACTGCTAAAGGCAACACAGGAGCGACTACGACCGTGAAGTTAATACACCTCTCA